GCTTCGTTTGACTTTGAAATATTTTCTGATCTGGTGTAACTCGTGCTGGCTTAAATACTTCGGGATTCTTCTTTGTAAGTTTTGGGTTTACTTGTCGTTGTGTTTCTTGCATCTGTGAATTTCCTCTGATGGGCCTAATATTTTGTGATTCTTGCTTTGGTTCGCATGGTTGGACTTGGAACATTTGTTGACCTTGCGTGTCTAGCTGTTGATTACATACTTCTGTAATTTTTCTGTCAGGCCTTGGATCTTGCGGCGGGGTTATGCGGCATTTACATAACGCTTGTTCTTGTGAATTTCCGTGTAGTGGTACTGGGTGTTGTTCTAAATAACTTCGACGTTGCGTGGTTTGTGTCAACATGCTTAGCTTGGGTAGTGTTGATGTTACTGGATTTACAATTTTAGCTTTTGCTGTTGTTACTTGCTTCGGTTGGTTCTGTTGCTGATTACTTCGCTGCTGGATGAGTATAGGCGACTCGGAATTTGAGCTGGAAATAACTTTGTCCTGTATCGGCGTGGTAGGTACGTGTCTCACTGTATTTTTTAATAGCAGCGTTTGTGGATATTCAACTTCTATGCGACCAACTATCACTTCCTGTCGAACACCGCCTCGACTCACTTTATCCTGTTCTGCGCGAAGTTCTTCGAAGTCATCAGCTAGTATTGTTAATTCTGTTAAGCTCGAAAACTCTCGACGTTTGATGTACATTTGGTACTCTGTGCGCATATTTCGGTATATTCGCTCCAATTGCGAATCTTGGTTCATGCCTGTGTGTCGCATAAGATATTTGATTTCCAGTACATAATCTTTAAAACTTTCATGTTCCTTCTGAACTCGTGCTCGCACCTCGTCTTCTAATCTGTCGAAATACCTATGTGAAAGGAAAAATTTTAGAAAGTCCATCTTGAAGCTTGACCAAAGGTTCCAATGCTTATTGTTGTTGCGGTACCACATCAGTGCTTTGTCTTCAAGCAGTATGGGCATCATCCTGGGAACTAAATTCACGTTGATGTCGTCAAGGTCCGCTACCTCTTCTATGCTTTCCACAAAATCTATTGGATCTATTCCTCCATTGTACTTTACAGACCATTTTCGTATCCGCTCCACGCTTTGAGCACACGATAAGGCCATGATGTGCTGCTTATGCGAACGTCTTGTATGTTTCTCTGTTGAACTGGCTTGAATTGAACTATGAGCGAGAGTATCTAGATTTTATCTTATAATCATGTTTGCCTGTGCCATTGTAACGTGGATATCACTTTGATTTAATTTTGAGAAGTCTGTCTGTCCCTGCTCGGGCGCCAATTGTAACGACACGGATTTTCCCGTTTCGTTATAATTTATGCTGGGGTATCCTCAGTCTTTTCCAGGCGGTCGCTACAATAAATTTATATTCGCGGAGACAGGACTTCTCAAAATAAAAGTAATGTGTGTTAAATTTTAAATGTAGATTTATTTAAAATATTATTAATTCATGAAAATAGTATTTATAAAAAAGGAATTTAGTTAAACGTAATTATGTAAACTTGAGATTACTAATGTGTACAATTCAATGACATAGTATTTTTTAAAAAAAAAAAAACAAAGTAAATTCATTAAACGTGATTAAACTTGAGAAACTTGAGATTATTTCCTGGTATTCTGCTGTATCTGGAGATTGTTCCTTTGGAGCTCGGTGATCTCTAATCTGGTTCCGTGGTTTGTATCTTCGTATGATTACTTGCTCAATGCGTACCTGTGTGGGACAGAAGGGTTAGTGTATATATAAAAAAAATATATTTCCTTGTTCGGTTATAGAATATCTATACAATAGTGTCCAAGTGTCTTGACTTAAAACCGCCCATGCACTTGTACACAATTATATATATATTTTAGTAATTTATACAACTAGGCTTAAAACCGCCACTGTGTCAGACAATATTTTTTATATTTATTTATTTTATATTTTGACATACAATGCCACCGAGTGATCATACAAGACTCACTAAATTCTTAGAAAATTGCGCCGTCTTTTATACGCATTTCTCTTGAACTTTTTGTGTAAAGTACACAAAGCTTAGAGTTGATCTTAGTTGAACTTACTGCATTTAACACTTTTGCACAAAAGCTCCCTTGTGCATCTTTTTGCAGCGAATTGCATTCTGACATTTTTGACGTTTGTAAATGTTTGTTTACATTTTTATAAAAAGCGGCGGTGCTCGTGGTTTTATTTTATAGTCGAATTATTTATAAATAAAATAATAAATAATTTATAAATAAATTATTATTTATTAATTTAAATAAATTTATGTGGAAAAATAATGAAGGTATGTTATATGGTTATTATTATTTATATACCTTTTGTATTTATTATTGAAATGTTTTCTCCTACTTACAGATTACTTCACGTATTTTGTTCAAAGTGGTGGTGTTACTAAATTTATGTAGGTTGGAAATTATTACAAAATTTCCATCCTTACACGCGTCACATTCGACAAAAGAAATTCACCATTCGACAAAAGAAGTCTATTCATTTTTACGAAAAATGTGCTTAGTGGATCCTTAGAATCATCGTTCAAAGAATCAAAATGTACGTCTCAATAAGTCGACCAGAATTTATCAAGTGAAAGGTTTCACAGTTTGAGAGACATGTAAGGATATCCATAGCACTATTAACTTTTATGGTATAAATATGTCCAACATCATATAAGAAAAGATTCAAATTTCAGACATGATCGTTCCATCACAGTTCAATCTATATTGAAAATTATAAAGGAATGTACATAATAATTAAATTAAGAGAAAATAGAAACATAAACCTTTTCCACATAAATAAGCAAGAGTATATTTTCCTAAAGAGCAATAAAATATTCTTTATATGGAAATGATAAACTATAACTTAAAAAATACATGGTAAGATGCAATCTTTGTTTAAAGTATAAACTTTTTAAATTTCCTTAAGAAAGTGCCTTTATGTTTCATAATGCACTTATGTATGTATGTCTCAGAACTGCTTAGAAGTTAATTTAAGAAATTAAGTGTTCACGGAAAGACCCTGAAATAATTATTAAATATAGATTCTATATGATGAAATTAAAGCTCGAATGTAGTTAATATATAGAGCTCTTATATTATTAAGTATCAGTACTTGTTTTGTAATTTTTAGTAAGTACATATTTATAAAAAAATATATGTTAATTTTGTATAGTTATAGACAGATAAGCTTTTAGAATGTGAGAAATATTCTTTACATGGCGTAATGAATACTTGATCGATAAGATAAAGCTTTACTGATAAATACAAACTATAAAAAAAGTTTTAACAAATATTTAAAGAAAATATTTATTATAAATTTTCATAAAAACAATGATGAATATATGTACGGAAATATTTAATTGTATAACTAGTACAATTAAATGTGTTATGAAATGAAGAAAAATAAGATCGGAACTCTTAAATGGATCTATAAAATAATATATTTTGTTAATAAAGGTTTTTAATAAATTAAATAGTTTTAAGCCCCTTAACGTTCGTTTTTATCTGAGTACTTTTGTAAGTGTTTACATAATCTTGAAAGCAAGTTGAAAACTGTTATTATTATTATTATATTACTTATTATCGAATAAGTAATATTTAATCAATAAATACAATTACTATAACATAAAATGATTATGCTTTCGCTGGTGACATAGTTACTATCAAATATATAGTATATTTTAATTAAAGTGACTATCCTACGATTCATACTATTGTCATAAGAATGAAATCTGTTAAATATATGACATTAATTTAAGCATAGGAATACCCAAAAAACGGGTCTGGGCGAGGTCCAAAGATCAATATAGCAAACAAAAACCTTATACCATTTATTATTGCACTACTAACAAATGCGATGTGAAGAAACAGAGGCCCAGCACATTATATAGGCAGCCCGTTACCACTTGGGCCTGTTATTCATTATGAAATATTACTTCAGGCAGACTTTAATTATTTCCCTATATATCTCTCTGACTATGCTACTGAAGTGACAAGCATTTAACATAGAAAACAGCAACAATTGGTAAGATGGTGCTGTGGTAACTCACAACATAATGACGGAGATATATATACTCGTTCGACACTATATGACACTATTATGATGATGAATCGTTCATGTGTTTTATTGTAGTTTGCAGTATTTTAAACATTAGTGGAGTCTTCGGATGTAAATTAGTTTAGAATTGTTGATAACATTTAAACTATTAATACAATATATTAGGTTTTACCTTATGATGACTGCAATACATATTCAAAAAATGATTATTTGAAAGGTTTCTATAACTTTATATATATCTTTCATTTATTGTATAGATAATAAGAAAAAAAACTTTTGTAAAATTATGTACGACAAGCTGACTTTAACAAATTATTTGATAAAATTTAACATAATACGAACATTTTATAAAAAATAAATTTTTTGTTTCTGAAACAAGCTCTAAAATCTAAATATTTATATATGAAATTTGCATAAAAATTAATTTCACTTCTAGAATCAATAAATGAAGTAAGGAAACGTATGTGAACATGTGAATAAACAACTAATAAAAAAAAACTAAACATTGAATGACCCTATAAAATATATAGGACGGATATCAAATAAATTTACTAAAATAACTGACAAATGCTTTGAAAATAGCGTATTAACGTCACGCCATGACGTATGACATCTGTCATGTAGATTTAAGCATAATATATGTCAACGGAAAATACCAGAATTCTTCTCAAACTTTGTGAAAAATTGTTTTAAATAAGAAAATCGATATGTTTTCTGTCAATTGATGCTGAAAAACTAAGCTAAGAAAACCGAAAAAAAATCTACTAAAAGACAAAATAAACCAGTAAAGTTGCAGTGGATATAA